TCACACCTCCTCTGGAAAGCCCGTTGTGACGTTCGCCTCCCGTGGCCCAATGGGGAAGCGCCTGGTGTTCCCTTCTCTTGGAAGAGCGCGCCCCCTGGAGGATTCTGCGCAGAGTGCGAGGATTCCCCGAAAGGGCGGGAAAGAGGAGCTCATCTGAGGGGAAGGGAAGGGAAGAACAGGGATGACGGGCATGACTGTAGGAGGAAAGGCCCCTTTCAATGGCTCCCTATCCGAGAAAGGCTTCGACGTCTCCAGAGGTGGCAGTTTCTCCATCTTCCTCTCCTTCCTGTCCAGAAACCGTCTGTGGAGATGAAGAAAAAATCTCTCTGGAGGATTTAAACTTGCTTCCCTCAAGAACAGCCACTGTGAAGGCTCTACAGAGATTGGAGGAAGCCTCGAAAGGAGCCAGATCCTGTCAAAAACAGCCAGGCAGTCAGAAAAGGAGGACCAGGAGACTCTCTGGGAAAGACAATTTGTGTCTTGTGGTTGTTGCGAATTCTGGCCTGAAGTGGAGGAAGATGGGACATGGGCAGCGAAGCCACAACCTGGAAAATGGAGATTTCTGTCAGTTTTTATTTCTTTAATTCAATATATACTGCTGCCCTAACAAAGAGAATAATGCTGAAGAAAAAGAAATATTAAAAAATAATCCAATTACAAAATGGAGAAAAAGCTGAAACTCATGGATGTTCTAGAAAGTTTACCTCACAGCGAGCTATCCTGGTGCAGAAATGAAGAGAGAGGGAAATGGCATCTCATCTGTGACTGGAGAAAAAGTAGAATTGCAAAATGAAGGAAGAAAAATAGTGAAAAGAGAATATAAGGCCCAAATACCATGAGGAATAAATGTTTTAATGGAGAATTCATTTCAGGAATGAACTCTGACTAGGAAGCTTAAGATCTTTGGGAAATTTAAGGCAATGGGAATATCTTTAAATTAATAAATGGAGGAGAAAAAAATTGCACAGGTTTTGTTTTAGCCAAAACTCCACAAATCTGAAGAGATTCCTCTGCATTTGGAGGTGACAATGCAAGAAAAAGAAATTTAGTTCTAACTAGCAAACCAAAGAATTGAACTAGAAGGGGAAAGTGGTTAAAAAGCAACTTAAAAGAAATGTTTTCTTCAGCTCTTTTCTTTACCTGTTCAGGTTCCTTTTACAGGTAGTCCTCAACTTACAACCATTTATTTAGGTACCATTCAAAGTTACAGCAGTATTACAAAATGTGACTTATTATGTTTTTCACATTTACGACTCTTGCAGTCTCGGTCACGTGATCAAAATTTGGATGCTTGGCAACTGGCTCATATTTATGACAATTGCAGTGTCCCATGGTCAGGTGAACACCTTTTGTGACCTGATAAGCAAAGGAAAAGCCAAATTTACGTAACTGTGTTACTAACATAACAACTGAAAAGATTCACTTAACAACTGTAGTAAAGGTTGCAAAGTGGGGTAGGATTCACTTCTTGGTTAGCAATGGAAATTTGGGACTCAGTTGTGGTCATAAGTTGAAGACTACCTGTAATTGCTAATTCTGTTGGTCTGCTGTGCAGAAGGAGAGCTAGAATTGCTGCCTGCGCTTAGGAAGAGCCTCTGCAACCAGGCAACACTGCTTTTGCCCCTACTTCCCCAAGCACCACACAGCCTCTGCTTTTCCCCAAAGGGCTGTCCAACCCCAAAAAATGGAGAGATGGCACTGAAGTATTCAGCTTGCTCCCAAGGATCCACACTGGATGTTCCAGCTGTGGCTAATTAAGCCACAGTTGACAAGGTCCAGAGGCAGCTTCATTCACCCTGCTCCTTAGCCTAGACAAGCAAGCACCAAGACACTGGGTGGCTGGGTGTATAGGAGAAAATTGATCAGAAAACAGCAAACAGAAGGGAGCCTCCGTATGGAAATTAGCAACTATTTCAAGCAGTTAAGAGGGATATCAGTCAACTGCCAGCATTGCAAGCTGCTATGAGCAGTATATCCTGATGGATTCTTGCCTGGAGCTGGGCCGCAATCAGAAAAGCAACCACATTGAGACAACTCCTCATCCCAATCAGTGGGAGGATTTTTGCAAAGAGCAAAAAATGGATGCCACTTTCAGCCTTTTTTTTTTGGAGTATTAACACACTGAGCATTAAAGAGCTATTTAGGCAGCAACATCAACTTGCAAGGTTTAGGAAGGGGGTGCTAACTCAGAGCCATTGCGTGTTGCTGGAGAAGGTGTGTGCACTGTGCTCATTTTCATGTCTTAATGGTTTTTAATACAACCAAGGGGAAAGTATTTTATACATCTAGTGAGTAATCATACCATTGATATTTAATTTTATTTAAATCTAATTTAGACTTTTCCCTTTTTTTTCCCTCAAAGAAGGAGGGGGGAAATGTAGGAAACTACAAATCAGCCTGACATTAATATTTGGGAAGATCCTGAGAAAGATAAGCAACAGATTTGCGAACGCCTAGAAGCAAGCAGATATAGCCAGAAGCCAACAAAACCCATATTTTCCTAGACCATGGTCTGCACTGATTACATGAAGGGCTACTGGCAAGAGATGGATTGCACCTCACAAGAACTGGAAAAAATATATTCGGAAAACAACTGACTCATCAAAAAGGCTTTACACTAAAATTGTGGGTGTTTGGAGGGCAATCTTCACAACATTAAGAACCTGATTCCAAGCAAAAACCACTAAATAGCCAATCATATAAGGAGGTAAAGAGTAAAGTGAAAGAAGCAAGCAAGAAAAACAATGAAGTAGAGATTGATGGGAAGGATGGAAATCCCCGTTACAAAGTAGGAGATATAAGAAACATACCCAAGACCTATAAAGGACTCAAATGCCTATACGCTAACACTCAAAATTTATGGAACAAACAGGGTGAACTTGAAGTATTAGTTCATGAAGGTAGATTAGCAATAAAAATTAAATTAAGCAAGAAAATGGTAAGAGAACAACTGTCTGATCTTACCATTCACCAGGACCCAGATTCTAAAGTAGATGGCAGATGTTATCTCAGAACCATTGTACCATGCCTTTCAAAAATCCTGGAGCACAGAAACTACTGGAGGATTGGAAAGGAGCTGATGTGGTTTCCATCTTAAAAAAAGGGGGAAAAACAGACCCAGGAAACTACAGATCAATCAGCCTAATATCAATACCTGGAAAGATACTGGGAAAAAATGATCAAAAAACAGATCTGCAAACATCTAGAAACAAATAAAGTTATAACTAGAAGGAGCCACAGGCTTGTTAAAAACAGATCATGCCAAACCAATCTTATTTCATTCTTTGACAGTGACTAAATTAGTAGACCAGCGAAATGGTCTACATAGTAGACTTAGACTTCAGCAAGGCATTCGAGAAAGTAGACCACAACTTGTGATGAACTTGTGATGAATTTGTAATAGGCTGACAAACCATACTCAATGAGTGGTCCTTAATGGTACTACATTTACATGGACGGAAGTAAGCAGTGGGGTCCCATAAGATTTCGTTTTAGGCCCAGTACTCTTCAATATATTCTAAATACGAGCCAGCAGAGTGCGACAGCAGCCAAAAACACTAATACAATCCTTGATTGTGTAAAGAGAGGCATAGAATCAAAATCACAAGTATTAATACTGCTTTATAAATCCTTAATAATACCACACTTGGAATACTGCATCCAGTTTTGGTCACCACATTACAAGAAAGATGTTGAGATTTTGGAAAAAGTGCACCGATGAACAACTAAGATGGTTAAAGGCCTGGAGACTAAAAATAGGAAGAATGGCTGCAGGAATTGGGTATGGCTAGTATAAAGAAAAGAAGGACTAGGGATGACATAGCAGTATTCCAATATTTGAGAAGCTGCCACAAAGGGGGTCAACTCAGTGGTGGGATTCAGCCGGTTCACACCACTTTGGCAGAACTGGTAGCTAATTTTTTTGTTGTCCAGGCCCAGAATAGACTTCCAGAAGTAGCATCCACAGAGAGAACCGGTTGTTCACATATTTGAATCCCACCACTGGGTCAACTTATTTTCCAAACCACAAGAAGGAAAGACAAGAAACAATAGATGGAAACTAATCAAGTAGAGAAGCAACCTGAAATGAAGGAGAAATTTCCTAGCAGAACAATTCACCCAGGATGTCAAACTGCTGGCCCATGGGCCAGATGCATCATAGTGAAATAGTAACCACCCCATTGCCGGCAATGGCAAAAAAGTCGCGATGTGTCACGACATGTTACGTGACGTTGCTAGTTTGACCCCTCAGAATTAATCAGTGGAATGGCTTGCCTTCAGAAGTTGTAGATGCTTTATCACTGGATATTTTTAAGAAGAGACTGGACAGTCATTTGTCTGAAATGATATAGGGTCTTGTGAGCAGGAGGTTGGACTAAAAGACTCTCGGGTCCCTTCCAATCCTGTTCTTTGCTTTCCCCATCCCGTTCTGTTCATTCCATTCCATTTCTTAGCTCTTGTCACAACATAAAAAGACAAAATAAGGCCCCAAGGCTTGAAGAAAATTTTTTACACATGCATTTGGAGGGTCTTCTCATCATTCTGGCTCCTTTTATGAGGGAGGAATTCTTCATCCTGAAGCTCTTTTCACAGACTCTATGGTGATATGTATATGATGATTCTCACATAATCAGAGACTTTTGACAAAAAAAAAAGTTTCAAAGCTTCTGCTTAATTGATACTGTTTGACTCAGTTCTACACAAATGGATATAAATCAGATTATTTTTTGGTATCTTCACACCCCAGAGACAGTTCCCTTTCTGATTGCTGTCTGCTTATCTGAGGAGATTTAAATAACTTTCTGAGATATTTTTCTTAATTTCATATTATTTTATTTTGTCCCCCACTGATTTCTAAAGATTTTCCTTCTTGATAATTTGCAACGTCAGCATAATGGAGTTGTTTTCATTTTTATTCTCCTGACTATACCCAACTTGAGACAAAGGGAGGGAGGGAGGGAGGGAGGGAAGGAAAATTTATGAGTAATTTAAAGCACAAATCCTCTTAGTTGTCACTTTTAATTCCATATCACAATCAATGGAACAATTGAATCTCTCTGCATACATTGATGGAACTTATGTCCCCTTTCGATTATAAGATTCCTTCAAACCTCAGAATACCTGCTGTGCTATTTCTATTTTTTTTCCAGTGGAAAGAGAATTTAGAGCCATCTGATGAAATGAATATATTAAGACACAAGAAAGAGAAGGGCAAAGTCTAGGCAAAAGAGGGAAAAATTAAATTATGGGAAGTGACTGTGGATCAGTTGAATTTGTACCTCCATCTGTGCTATAGTGGAAGAAAGACCAATCAAGTTTGTAGAGATATATCTTCTCCTGCCTGGGCAGCCTCATTTGTTAAATATCTGCCTATTCACATCCGTCACAGAATCAAGATCAATTAAAAACTGATGAAAATACACTTCAGGGAAAAAACGATTTTCATTATTAAGATACAGTAGCATTGGCCAGCTTCAAATTAGAGAAAAATCTGCTCTTTATAATCAAAAGAGCAAGTGCTCATTGTTTTTTTTCATTGGTAATTCCATCTCTCTGGAGCTGCCAAATATAAGGGTCTGACTCCTTTCCTAATTAATATACACAAATATGAAAGGCATAGATTTGACTAACAAAGTCTAGAATTTGCAGGGATTGTCCACCAAATTTATGGCAAAATTAAGTCATTATTCCTGAAGCTCTTTCCAAGCTCTTCAGATTTATATGGTTTCTCTTCTGCATGAATCCTTTTATGAGACGTAAGGGAACCATTATGACTGAAGCTCTTTCCACATTCCAAACATTTGTATGGCTTTTCCCCCGTGTGGATTCTTTTATGCGAATTAAGATGACTGCTATTAGTAAAACCCTTCCCACACTCCACACATTTATACGGCTTCTCCCCTGTGTGGATCCAGTTATGGGAACTAAGTTGACTGCTATGAGTAAACGTCTTTCCACACTCCCTACATTTATATGGCTTCTCCCCTGTATGGATCCTTTTATGTTTCATAAGGGATGAATTTTCACCAAAGCTCTTTCCACATTCTGTGCATTTATATGGTTTCTCCCCTGTGTGGATCCTTTTATGAACAGTAAGAGGCCCATTTTCGCAAAAACTCTTCCCACACTCTTGGCATTTATATGGCCTCTCCCCTGTGTGGATCCTTTTATGGGAAGTAAGATGACTGCTATTAGTAAATCCCTTCCCACACTGCTCACATTTATATGGCCTCTCTCCTGTGTGGATCCTTTTATGGCAAGTAAGTTGATTGCTGTGAGTAAATGTCTTTCCACAGTCTTTGCATATATACGGCCTCTCCCCTGTGTGGATCCTTTTATGTTTTATAAGTGATGCATTTTCACAGAAACCCTTTCCACAGTCCATGCATTTATATGGCTTCTCCCCTGTGTGGATCCTCTTATGCGAATTAAGATTACCCTTCTGAGTAAATGTCTTTCCACACTGAGTGCACATATATGGCTTCTTCCCTGTGTGGATCCATTTATGGGAAGTAACCTGACTGCTTCTTCTGAAGCTCTTTCCACATTCCAAGCATTTATAAGGCTTCTCTTCTGTCTGGATCATTTTATGAGATGTAAGGGATGCAATTTCAGAAGTAACAGTGAAAGTTGAATTGTAATGTTTCCAACTGTCAGCACATATATAAGCTTTTTGGCTTTGGATTGGATAGTGTTCATTTACATCTAATCTGACTTGGAATAGTTTTACGCTATTTCCAATATATTTTTTCTCTATTTCTCCTTCTTGGGCAAGAAAATCTTGCACTGGGGCATCAGTGGAAGATGAGCTTTCTTGTTTCCAATCATTTGACTGGTTTCTCTCATGATTTTCAAGTTCCATTTTAATAGCAGGTTTCTGTGTTCCATTTCCAGGACTGATTACTTGGAATGGTTCTCTGGAATCTTTATTCTCCTGCCCATTTTCACCTGCAATGGAAAAGAGAAATGAAAGTGATAGCAAGATTAGGGGAAAAGATCAAAGAGTATAAAGCCATATTAATTTCCTTCCCTGTATCAGAGTGCCACTGATTACTTTCCCTCCTCAGAGCAGTAGAAGGGCAAATTTTTTCTCCGTCCCAGGACATGACATCTGCATGGGGATTTTTAATAAGAAATAGCGGATGTTATCTAATTAAAGAATGTCTTCCTAAACACCCATTGGGGAGTAGCTAATGCTTACCCAGAGAGACCACGTTCCTATGATTTTCCAGCATGACCTCCCAATGCAGCTCTTTTTGGTGAGTATCCAGTTGTGACCACTCCTCCTCAGAAAAATACACAGCTACCTCCTCAAAGGACACAGGGCCCTCCTGAACAAGGAAAAACAAAGAACAAAACAGGTCTGGGAGGATTTGGAAGACCTCTTGTTATTATTTAGAAATTCCCAACGCAAAGATAGCAAATATTTTATCAACATTCATTTATTTTTCACATTTTTGAACGGCCCTTTCCCATGATTATGTCACTCAGCAAAACTAACCCATTTCCTTTTGGATTGACTTTTGTGCTTTTTTTCTAAAAAGAAAAGGTGCCGGAACTCACATATGTCATACAACCTGCCTTGCCAACCCTACAAGGTTCCATCCAAAAAAGGTGCCGGAACTCCGTTCTGGGCGTTCTAGGAGAAAAAAAGCCCTGGACTTATCTATGTCTGTGTGTCTGTCTGTCTAATTATCTACTGTATGTATACCCATCCATCCATCCACCCTCAAAGATTCCCAGCATGTGGATAGAGTCAACTTGCAGATGGGTCTTGAAATCCCCAGCTCTTGGTGGCTCTAGTCCTTCCTGTGTTTGCAGAAGGAAATGAGAGGGGGATATTCTTTCTAGCAAACAGCTTTTGGTGTCCTCTGAAGGACCAATCTGGGGGCTTGAATGAATAAGAGAGAAAATTTTGTCAGTTGGACACTTCTCAGCTTTTGGAAAGCTAAATGGTTTGGCCTTCAGATCCAGGCAAAAACCAGAGGGTTAGAAATTACTTTGCAAGTCACCAGGGCCTTGATTATGTGCTATTTCAGGACAATTTTTTACTTAGAGATTTTTCTATCTGGCTACCTTCATTAGATTTTAATGATTTGCCTTATCTTATAATCTCATTGACTTGTATTTCTTATGACTGGTTAAAAACAAGGCTTTTTTAAAATGGTGATGTGCCAGTGTATTTATTTATGACTGAGCAGCCTTGCCCAATTCCAAATGAAAGAATTATGAAATGGCTCTCTTGAAGGGTTTTGTGAAAAATTAATTCTTGAAAATTAGGCAAAATAATTAGCACAAGGAGAGTTAAGTAAATTATGTCTTATAGTCTTATAGTCTGATTTCCTATTAGAAAAGTCACAGCTGAATCTTGTATACTTCTCGCGAACACAATAATAATCCAGTCCAAACAAGAAGAGAGTGCTGTGTACATCAGCTTGATTTCTGAGCAAACGGGAGAATATAAGTCTAATTCATTAATTCCCCAACTTACTTGATTTGGAGGTTCAACCATGGTTTCAGATCCACCAAAAAGAGGAGTAAACTTCATTCGACTCCTCTCTGTAAGGGATACAGAATTTTAGAATAAATAACTAAGGGAACAGAGTAATAAAATACACACAGAAGGTGAAACAGCTGGGATCTCTCTGGAGAAGGGAAGACTTTCAATTACCTCCTGAGGTGTTCTGACTTGGATCATCCTGAGGAATCCTCCTGAAAAACAGCTCCTGAGGAGGATTTGATGGATTCTTCCTTCCCCCAGGGTCTCTGATCTCCACAGCAACGGACTTGAAATACGAGGAAGTAGAAAAGAAGAATTAACGGACATCACCCAACATGAACTGATTTCTCCTTGTCTGAACACAACTTCAGAGTTCCAGTATACATCAGTGAAGCTGAGTAAAAATGCATGATCTATTTTCTAGAATGGATAATGGGATAATGTCCTATAAGAACTAATGAAACATCCCCACATATTTTTAAAGCCAGAGTGGTCTGGGAGGGAGGGGTGAAGAATTCAAACACATTCCTCATTCCTGTCAAAACCTTCTGAGCTCCAGAGAGAAGACCTACCTGCAACTTGACTTGCTGCTTCTGCTCCTCTGCCTGGCTCAGGAGGAAGCCTTCCACCAGGGCTACCGCCTGGGAGCTGGTCTCTGCTCCACACTCCCGCACCCAGCTCTCCATCTGCAGGGGCAAAAGGGCCAGGAATTGCTCCAGAACAACCAGATCCAACATCTGGGCTTTGGTATGCTTTTCTGGTCTCAGCCATCGCCTACAAAAGTGGTGGAGTCGGCTACAAAGTCCACGGGGGCCCTCAGCCTGATTATAGAGGATGGTCCTGAAGTTCAAGGGCTGAACTTCTGAATGGATGAGGGTTTCCTCCTTCAAGGTCTTCTGCCCCGTTCTTGTCCAGTTCTGCCGACAGCTCCCGGGCTGAACCGCAGAAGGGTCTTTTCCCTCCCGGGCTAAAGGTTGTGTCTCCATTCTTTTCCTGTCTCGTAAAGCGACTCCAAATAAACCAAGGAATACTTGTGGATCTCCAAACACCTTTTCATTCACAGGACCATTTCTGTTGCTGCAGGGTTACTGATGACCACAGCCAGGTTACTCTGCTCTCTTCGCCCAAGATATTTTGGCTGTAAAGAGATACGAATGCCTTCCAGTTTGTGCATCTGAGATTGGGGGTGGCGGTGGGGGTGGAAATGCCAAGAATTAGAAATTGGATTATTTAGCCCTGGAACAATTATAACACAACTTGAGCCTAAAGGGATCAGACCGACTTCCTCTCGGAGCCTCCTCCAGTCCCTGGTGCGAATCCTGCTCCGCCCAACTTCTTTTCTCTCCTGGAGAGGATCTGCAAGACCAACCCTTAATCACGGGGTGGGAAGGGCGGCTGCTCTGGAGCTCTACTTCCCCCTTGCATGGAGAGGGCGGCTGGGGAACATGGGACCCAGGATCGGACCCGGAGGACGGCCGGGCAGGGGTTCCCCCCTTCTCCCTTTGCACGGGAATAGCCCCCCCCCACCTAAGACACGCGTGGATCTCTCTCCCGTAACCTCTTCACCTCCCACGGAGCTCCAGGGGTTAAGCAAAGCGAGTGCAGCATGCTAGAGGGGCAAGCTTTGTGATGTCATTTCCCTCGCAGCCTCCTCTGGAAAGCAGCCAACTCCAGAGGTTAAAGGAGAGCGAACGCTACGTCCTAGAGCGGCAACCGTTTGTTATGTCACGCCTTCTTTAGAAAGCCAGCCGTGACCTTCGCCCCCCAGTGGCCCGATGGGGAAGCGCCTAATGTTACCTTCTTTTGGCAGAAGAGGCGCCCCCTGGTGGATTTTGCATAAATTTACAGGATTCCCCGCAATGCTGGGAAAGAGCACCTGAGGGGAAGGACAGGGATGATGGGTATTGGAGTAGGAGCAAAGACTCCTCTCAATGTCTCCCTACACAAGAAAGGCTTCGGCGCCTCCAAAGGTGGCACCTTCTTCATCTTCTTTTCCTTCCTGTCCAGGAACCATCTGTGGAGATGGAGAAAAATCTCTCTGGAGGATTTGAACTCGCTTCCCTCAGAAATGGCCACCCTGAAGGCTCCACAGAGATTGAAGGCCTCAATATGGGCCAAATCCTGTCAGAAACAGTCGGGCAGTTAGAAGACGAGGACCAGGACCCTCTCTGAGAAACAAAAGTTGTGAACTCCAGCTTGAAGTGGAGCAAGATGGGACATGGGGAGGGAAGACACAATCAGGAAAATAGAGTTTTACTTGGTTTTTTTCTTTCGTTTAATACATATAAGCACTCTTCTTAAATTCTTCACTCTGCCCTCACAGCAGAGTGGGGAGCAGAAAGGGCAGGACCCCCCCCCCTTCAACCTCTTATAATGAATGTCCCAGGCGATACATGTCTTATGCCTGTGGAAAGATGCTGAGGAAAAAGAAAACCATCCCCCCCATCCAGTCAGAGCTGAGAAGCTTCTTGGATGAGAAGTGAAACGTCTTTAAAGAAAAAACAAGAAAGCCCATTTGCTTCGTGAAAAAGCACCTTTGGGAGAAAAGAAAGCCAGTTCCAAAATGGAGAAAAGGTTGAAACCTATGGATGTTCCAGAAATGTTTCAATGGTGAAAAAAGTAAGGTTCTACATTTAGGCAAGAAAAACCAAATGTACAGGTATAGTATAGGGCAGGGGTCGGCAACCTTAAACAAAGAGCCACTTGGATCCGTTTCCTAGAGGGATAGAATCAAGATTATGTGAAGTATTGATACCACTTTACAATGCCTTGGTAAGGCCACACTTGGAATACTGCATCCAGTTTTGGTCACCACGATGTAAAAAAGATGTTGAGACTCTAAAGAGTACAGAGAACAGCAACAAAGATGATTAGGGGACTGGAGGCTAAAACATATAAGGAACGGTTGCTGCAATTGGTTATGTCTAGTTTAATGAAGAGAAGGATGAGGGGGGACATGATAGCCGTCTTCCAATATCTCAGGGGCTGCCACAAACCCTGAGGGAAGAAGAGGGAGTCAAGCTATTCTCCAAAGCGCCTGAAGGCAGGACAAGAAGCAACGGATGGAAAGTAATCAA